GTCGAAGGGCCAGTCTTCAAGGGCTGCGAGGAGACGGTGGTGGAAGATACCAGCTGGAGGAAGACACTAGTGAACCCCGAGAAAATGCCTTTCAACAAAATTAAAATCAAGCCGTGGAGGGAGACTTTCATTCTGGAGTGATGGCGCTCCAAGGGAGACAAGTGAGGCCACTGTTGTAACAGACGCTACCGTGGCCTTATGCAGCCTCCACCCGTTTGTTCCTTTTCTTTCTGAAGCTAATGCTTACTGAGTGTGCTTAGCATTTTATATGGATTATACAATTGATCTTTAAACAACCTCCCCGATTTGCAGATGAGGAAAAACTGAGGCACAGCAGTTTTAAGTAACCTGTCTGATATAATAAAATTGGTAAGTGGCAGAGACAAAGTTTAACGAAAATTTGTCGTACTCAAGCCTGTACGCACTAAAGTCTGTGGGGAGAAACTGGGCCAGGTAATTTGCGCACATCCTTCCCCCCATACTCCTTTTGGCTCCCTAGGCCACGGGGCAGAGAGATGTCAGATGCCACAGCGAGCACTTTGCTACTGGATTCCTAGATCTTTTTGCAGTTAAATAATTCTGTAGTACTCCCATCGGACTGTAGACCTGCAGAAGGAAAAGCCCCAAAGTGAACCCCTAAGCCCAGAGCAGGGTTGATTACCATTATTAGATCGTGGTCTATTAAGGTAGCGACTGAGCCCTAAAATTCTAATTCCAGATGGCTTAGCATATTGCCCGCTACATTGCACTCAATAGAAACAGGATTTCAGGAAAGCAGTGGCTCCCTTGCAGAAGGTCCTTCGGGATGCTACAGAGAGAGGTTGATTCTGGGGAATGAGGTCTGATCAGAACCTGGGGTGACATGGGGGTTCCCCGCTGAAGAAGGCATCTCCCAGTCCTTGGCAAAACAGATGGCGTTTCCTAAACTCGTGCCTCCATCCTGTGAGGCTCCTTTGGGACACTTGGAAAAGTGTCCTACCGTGCTCAAGACAGGCTGGTGCAGGGTCCTCTGGCTTGATGGTCCCAGAATTCAGAAGTAGTACTTTTCCCTTTGTCCACTGATCTCATGCCCAGAAATGTGCGCTAAAGGCTCATGTAAGTTGAGCCGTTGACACTCCCGTCCTCCTTCCCCAAGGTATTTTGTTCTATTGGCTAATTCCCATCGATGATTAGTTTGGCAGCTCTGTCAGGAGTTGTTTCCTACGTCTATTTCATTATACAGGAGAGGAGAGAAGAACTCTGAGTGGGCCAAAAGGGTTAGAAAAATGACGCCTGTCTCCCTGACGCCCATCTGCAGGGAGCCCCTCAATCCTCGTCCCTATCTTCCCGGCACTGTCCCCAGGCTTCGACTCCAGTTGGAAGAGTACTGACTACAGCTCAGGTAAACGAGGAGGCGTAGGCCTAGGTGACTGCCAGGGCTCCCAGGATGCATGAGGGCCACCGACCCTGGGGAAAGGGCTGTCATCCCTGAGGAGGTACTGGGGAAGTTGGGAGGGGGAAGCCGAGGGAGAGTAAAGACGGCAGGGATGAGCTCAGGGCCCCCAGAGAATGGAGCCTTTGTGTGGGGCGCAGATGAGGGACAAGGGGGTGATTGTGTGGGAGGGCCGGAAGTGCCACACAGACTGGCACCACCACAGCCAGCACCGGATTCACCCCTCTCCTGCTCCGAGGACTCCCTGTGCCTCAAGGGCCCAGCCGCAGACCTGGTCAGAGGAAGCGGGATGCGCCTGAAGGCGGCAAGGGTTCCAAAGGTGGGAGGCAGGTCGTGTGGCCAGAGCAAGAAGCGGCATCCCCACCACTGTCCCAGACCCAAGAAACGGAGGCAGAAGGAAAAAGACAGAAACAGCTTCTATTATATTTACATCCAACAAAACTTCGCGTTGACCAACCCTTATTGCACAGTCAGGGCCCTGGGAGGGTGAGGCGTTCCCCAAGCAGAAGTGGACGGGAGGGTTAGCACTAGAGGGGGCGCCAGTTCTTCCAAAGGGGAGCCTGGGACTCCTCTAGCTCCCACCTCCTGACTTTCAAGGACCTAGAAACCGCTGGACCACGGCGCCCTGTTTACCTTCTCTTTCTCTCATCCATAAGAACGTCATAAGCAAGGGGGCTGTGGCTCCAGAATAAATAAAATATAAACACTAAGGTAGAAAGGCATGGAGAGCCTTGGCCTCCTTCGGCAATTCCAGGGACCGTCCTCCGTGGGGAATGACGTCCCTCCCTCCCATTCGGGGCACAGGCTCGGTAGCTCTGTATCTTTCCGGTTGTTTTTTAAAACAAAAACTTATAAAACCCAGGGCAGTGAAGGTCTGTGGGTCCCCTGGCGGGGAGTCCCCGATGTGGGACGGGGAGGAACAGAGCCAGGCCAGCTGCTCCCCGGCCACCTCTAATGTCAGCATGAGCATGTTGGGCGGGCTGGACACAGGGAATTGCGACCTTTGGTAATAGTGGGTCCCTATTCCTAATGCCCCCACTCGGAGCCTATGGCTGGATGTGCTTCCCAGCCCATCCCCAATTCCTGTAGGAAAGGGACGGGGAAGCAGCTTATCTCCAGAATCCTTCCTCCCTCGCCTCCCCACCCCAGGCTGGAGAGCAAAGCTTCAGGGTCCCTAGCATTCCAGAGGAGCTCCAAAATATTTTCGGCAATTGATGGCCTTTGGGGTGGGCATCTGTGCCCGCCGCTGCCTCAGCTCTTCCTTGCCCATGCTGTTGGCCAGCTTGTTAAAGGCAGCCTTGTACTTCTTGTCGAACTCGCCTGGGGAAGTGGGGGAGGGAGGTCAGTCTATAAGGATTCCCACCTCCCGCACCTGGCCCCAGATCCCTCAACTCCTCCGCCCCCTGCCTGGCCCTCACCTATGTCCCTGTGGTCCTTGCCCATCGCAGCCATTGTCAGGAACAAGATCTCACGGTAGATGCCCCTAGAGTGCATGCAGAAGGCCATGAGTGAGAAGAAGGGGGTGCAGAGCCCGGCACAGGCCAGCAACCGCCCAGATGGGAGTCCCATACCTCTGCAGGTGCAGGCCAGTGGGAGGGGGCCCTAGCGTCTCCAGCAGGAGCCCTACGGCCTTGTGCACCTCATTGAGACCGACATAGCGCAGCACCGACTCCAGCAAATCCAGGCTCAGGGATGCAGGTACTGGGCCTGGCCATGCCACCCGCTGGGGGATCTGGCCTGGGTGGAAGAAAGGAAGGTGGCATGGGTCGAAGGGTTTCTGAGTCGTCTGGGCATGGGTCCCACCCCTTCCCACCCCAGGCCAAATACCAGACTCACTGTGGACCCTCCAGAGCACATAGAGAGGGGGGCAGCTGTTGGGGTCAGGGGTCAGGACATCCCACAGCAGCCGCACCTGCACACACGCTGGGTTGGGCATCAGCCAAGGAGATGGGGCCTGCGGGGAGCCAAGGAAAGGAGACAGGTTCACAGAGAACAGGACATGGACAGGCGATGTTCCGAGGGACAGAGGGACATCACAGGACATGGCCAAAGAGAAGCGGGAAAGGGACTCATCCCCCACAAGAGCACAAGCTCTTAGAGAGCGAGGACTGTGTTTTGTAATCCGCTGCATTCCTAGCACCGAAACACTGTGCCTGGAGCAGACCAACGCTGACCAGTCCCTGTCCAGGTTCCGGGTGCTGCACAGGGCGTCCAGCGGCAGCCCTGCGAGGGGAACCCTCGTGCCATTTTATAGATGAGAAGATCGAGGCTCAGGAGTGAAGAGAAAGAGCCGGAAACCAGACCCGGTACACCGGACTCTCAAACCTGTGCTCTCTCGCTGTGACGAGGACATAGAGGGCTGAGAGACAGAGCTGGGAGTGGAGGAGGAAGCACGTGGGAAGCAGGGCACTGACGGGGGGCGGGGGGGGCCCCCG